TGAAGGCAACGGCCGCTTGCCTTCACGATGTTTTTTTTCTCCGCCAAACCGTGGTGAAGGCGACGGCCGCTCGCCAAAACTTGTCGCCAAAACCATGGCGAAGGCAACGCTTGCCTTTGCCGTGTGTTGTTGGCACCAAAACCATGGTGAAGGGAACGGCCGCTTGCCTTCACCGCGTGTGTTTTTTGCGCCAGACAAGCTTTTGCAGTCTGGTGCACTTGCATCGGCCGAAGGGAGCTATGGATTTTTACATGCGTGGGGATCCCGCAGTGTCCCCGCGCCCGCGCCGCCGCTGTGCCCAGCCTGCTCCTCGACGGCTGCACGGCGCTTTGCCTCGAGGTCTCGACGTTGCTCCAGCAGGAAAGGCACGTAGCTCTCCTCGAACTCCTGGTGCGATCCGGTTTCGAGGCCACCCAGGAAGTGTGTTGGTGAATTGAAGCTTGTCCCTGACTCTTCCCCGTAGCTATCCGTAGCTCCTTGCAAGCTTCGACCATGGCCTTCTCAAAATCCTCACAGCCGGCGCCGGTCACGGCCGAGACGCCCACAGACCTCCCCCCGGCAATCGAGTGGGCAGTTTCAGGCTGGCTTTGCTCTATGAGTCTGCCGAAACAGCTGAATCCTATAGGAACCGTTTGAGGAAAGGCCGCGGTGCACGCGCCGTGGCATTCCCTTCAAAATCCCAATCCGAAAAACCCAGCAGCCTCTGTCCTAGACGCCACAGAAAAAACCGCAAGACACCTCAGGTTGCTGTAGAACTCTTCCATGGCGAGGCTCATGGACCTCCCAGGTAGCCCCCAAACAAATGTCCCAAAGCAAAAGCAATGTCTGCCTTGGGCTGGGAGGCTGGGGTTCTGTGAACTTAGGCCAACCTTTGCTCCTTCGGTAACCATACCATGCCCTGCTAGCAAGGATTGTTCATGTCAAGCCAGCGCTTGTGTCGGGCCTGCTTTGGCTGGCGGTGTGGGGCAGGATGTTCCAACTGTGATCCCTCAATGTTCACCTACTGTTCAACATAATTTTGAGAACGGTTTAGTGGAGCGCAAGCCAAGCTGTAAGCCCATAACCTGAACCTCAAATCCTAAGCTTAGACTCTACCCTTAACTCACCGCATCGCGAGGAGTACTCCGATGAGCAACACTTCTACGAGATTGCTGGGCTGCAACAACTTGGCTGACCGGGTGTGCTCGCTTGCTTGCAACGGGTTTGGGATTAAATCCCCTGGCCCGCAGCGAAGCCCCTCCTATCTCGTCTCTCTATCAGGCATTCGAAACCTGACTGACTGGCCGCAATGTTTCTGAATGATAGGAACTTCGAAACGAAAAGTTGAGGGCTCGAGCCTCGCCAGGCTGGCGACGTAGGAAGTTTCTCGGCTCAGCGCATCGCCCAGCTTCTCAAAGTCCTACAATTCCCGAGCTTGCAAAGGGCACCCGAAACGTCGCCTGACAGCGTCTTCTGTCAGCTTCATACTCGCTGCGGCTCAATGATTCTTAGTCTAGGATTTGGGGCCATCAAGCAAAAGCATGCAGCTGGCTCCTCCATCCACTCTTTCAGGAAGTCGTGCGGGATCACATCGATCCTCAACAGAAGGCCGTGGGCCATGTAAGCAACGCCCTGCTCTTTACCGGTTGCCTTCTGTTCGTCATGTTAAGCTGTACTGTACGGTGCAGGTCATGCGAACTGTCCACAACGACCTCGTACCACTTGCCTGTGCATTCCTGTGGTCGCCGCTGACAGTACTGCCATGGAATACTGGGATCCACAAGACTCGAGGTTCTCGAAGTTGAAGGTCGCGTTGCGCAGCAGCTTTCGTTGCCGGCCCCATGGCAGGAAGCGTTGAATTGGGACGAGCTAGACGGCAACTACCATCAGAAGGCTAGGAAAAGCCAGCACATCGTTCGAAGGCTTCACACCTTTGGAAGCATTACACGGAGGAGGCAACCCTCAGATCTGGGTTACGGGCCGGGACCTGCCGGCAGCAAAGGCTGGGACCCCGGCGTGTGGCCAGGTTTTTTGACAAAGCGTGCATAGGTTTGACAAAAAGTGTGCATAGGTTTTTTTGCCAAAATATGCATAGGTTTTCAAAAACCCTATGCACTTCGATTGGTCTGGGGTGTTGCGTTTTCATGCTACTTACCGTAGCTTGATGCGTGATGCCTTTTAGTCTCGAGGCACAGCCTGAGGAGCCCCAAGGGGGCGAAGCGCGCAGTGTGTAGTGCCCAGCGACGACAGAACACAAGGCGGCGCCCGGGTGCAGCACGTGGACGTGTTGCTTCCGACAAAGGATGCAGCATCCAAGGAAACGAAGCCCGCTTCAGACGACACCGCAACCTGAACAAAGAGACGTTGGCAACACTCTCCTCGAGATTGTCGCCCTTCGACACAATCTGCCTCTGAAGGACAAGCAGGTTCTGCGTCTGTAAGCGCCACGAGACTGGCCAACGAGATCAACCAACCGAGAGCGTGGTTTGATTCTGATGGCATCTGTACAGAGTGGTTGGGTGTATAATGATCTAACAAGACATAATGCAAACTCTTTGCAAGCCCCTTTGGTGACTTGGAGGGATCTACACACTGGAATTGTAGCTGCCGCACGTGTGATTTTCGACTCACGCCACTGTAAGACCAAAGCACCCATGCGAAGAGCTACAGCATAACATGCCGAAAGCGCGTGTAGCTGGCATGCGGGTGCTATTGGGCCAACTTGAGCCGTAGCTATTTTGGTCATACACATAGAGGGGTCCTGCACTCAAGTCAAACCGGTCTACATGCCTCCGAGTCTCTTATTGAAGGCGATGATAAATGGCAGTTTTGTCTTGTAGAGAATCGAACAGGCATAAAGCATGTTGGACATGAAGGTTACCGGCTTCACGCATCTGGCAGTGTCCACCACGTAGCACACCAGCGTCGGGTAGGACACAGCAAGGGCGTCGCACACGATCTGCCCAGAGGCCGACCAGTTGAAGACTTCGATTTGACCTGGCGTGTCGATCAGCACATAATCCAAGGATTCCGCGCGGCGGCCCAAAATGGACAAAACCTGATCGAACTTGGTGGCGAAAAGATTCAGTGCTGTCATGATGCCTCCATTGGGGCCAAGCCCGAAATGCTTCATGACCTCCTTGTAGTTCACCGTATCTCTGATATCTATGTTTACCGGGTAAGCTAAATTCCTCACGGCAGGGTCCAGGTTCACTGTGTAGACCTTCTTCTGCTTTGATTGCAGCCGCACGACCATCCTGTGCATGAAGGTCGACTTGCCGCTGCCAGCCATCCCAATCATCAGGACCACCACTGGAGACTTGGGAATTGACCGCAGTGGGTCATTGCCAGGGTCCGCTGACTCCACTTCCATGACTGGCAAGCTAAATGATTGAACAGCTGGCGTAGCGCATGATAAATCTGATAAGCTACCATGATAATGGCGACGGTGTTGGCAAGTACGAGCATTATTCGCGCAATGCTGCTGGTGGTAGTGGTGCTGCTGCTGCTGACGACGTGCAACTTGGCAAGTATGGGGTTGAGATGCACATGCCGAATCACGTGGGATCATGCGGCTATAGCCGTCACTATTCTGCGAATAGTTGGACTCCGTTCTTCCTGGCCTCATGTCTCCAACTCTGAGCTGCAAGAGCGCAGCGATCAGTATGCATCCGTCGGCACGCCTGCAAACGCACAGTACCTGCGAAGACTTTTCGCGACTGGCAGGCTCAACCCTACCACGAAAGGTCAGAACTTCAGAGCTCTCGCAACCTTGAACTGTCTCTGTCAGTTTGCGAGCGAAATGGGCTCCACTGTTTTGGACCAGGGACGTGCCCTTACGGCAGTACACTGCTTGCAGGACACTTGAACTGAAGCGGTGGCAAGCTTTCCACCACGAGTTCACATCTGGTCGGGCTCGATTTCGATTCGGCTGGCGCAGTTCAACTGCGCTCTGTACACAGCCGGTCGGAATTGAAAGCCCCTCGTCTTGAATATGGTGCGGGTATATGACGCAGCAAGACACATCCCACACGGGACGGCAACAGTGGCAATGTGCCAACCGCCGACCGCCATGTGCGAATCTTGATTGATTCCGCGTCTGCTGCCCTCGAACCTGACGCCCTCTCTGATGAGAAAGGCACGGTGAAGGATGGGACAAGGTTTGGCTGGTTTGCGCAATTCCCGGATGATTTGGGTCGGGAGTCAGGATACGGGGTCAACCCGAAGTGTGACGACAATCCAAAATCAACGCTGCCTGCAGAGTCACTCTGCAGATTGCCCCACTTCGCCAGTGTGTCACATGAATCCGTTTGGACTACACGGGCCAAGGAAATTCTCTGCTGGCAAATACCGCTATGCATCACAGTGTCAATGCCAGAATGGCTGTGATAGTGGGTGGACACCGCATGTGGGGTGAAGTTTCACTGTAAACACGTTGCGATGGGAAGTTGCTCAAATGCTGTGAGAGACCGACACGAGCAGCATGTAAGCAGTTCCCACGGCTCATTGAGCCGTTTCGCCGAATATCTTGGAACGAATCAGCCCTGAGATGGCCCACAAATACTGAGCATCTGAAGACAAGTCTAAGGGCTTAAACAGCAACGCAAGAGAACCACCTCGGCGGCAGCAGAAACACGAGTTTAAAACCGACCCGCGGCTTGAGCCCATAACTGGATGCCGCCTGCTGGGGGCACAAAGCCCTAAGCCCCTAAGCCCTACGAGTAGTCTGAACCCTGCGAACCTGGAAAGGCCCCCAGTCGACTGCCCCAAGCCACGGGGAAACTCTTTGAAAGTCGGCCACAACACCCGGGGCGCGTCGCAGGCTTCAAAGGGAGCCGCAGAGCGCACCGCTGCATCAAGTCTAGGCTCTGCATGAGAAGAATGCTTCTTACAATGGCAGGTGAAGGATGTCAGGCGAGCCTTCAGCAGCAAGGCTGCAAGATACTGCAAGACCGGTTAGTGGCCGATCATAGAAGGAAACGTTGTGACACGGCATCAGGTCAACATTCCGTCGCGATGGAAAGCTGAGTTGATGAAGAAACCTGTTGCAGAAGCGTGGAACTCTGCTATGGACCTGATGGCAAGAAGGCAACGGGAGACACTCTTTGCTGCAAGCCTGCTTGAGGACCTGACAGAGCCAGGGCTCTGCGGTCCTACTTGTCCGTACCGCACGGTTTAAGATGAAGTCGCATCAGCTCTACCACACACAGGTCAGCAGAAAGGATGTGCTCCCAGAACGCTGATACAGCACCAGCTAAAGATTTCCAAGTCATCGGATGCAGTGCCACCCGAGCTCGTGGAAGAAGGGGCCAAAAAAAAACACAAAAGCTCAGTTGGGTACTCAATTCATCTACGTCTCTCTGAGAGCCCCTCTTCCTGCCCTGGGTCGACTGCTCCCTGCGCATGTGCACTGGTACTACTTGACCACATTGCGTCAGATGTCCAGTGCCGCAGTGCTGCACCTTTCCGTTGATACCTATATAGACTTCCACCGAGCAGGTCGATGCGAACTTGGAACTGTAGAATTGCAGCACCGCGAACGCTGTCATGACAGATCAGCTAACACAAGCATAGGTGGGAAAATCCCATCAGAGCTCATGCACGAGAAGGTCAAGAAGTGCCTTACACAGCACGGAAGGGCGCAAAGCAGCATCGCATAACCAGCAATGACGGATCGATAAGGTCACGGAGCATCGATAGGCAGTATCAACATCCAAGGTGGCGACGTGGTCTTGGCAAGACTGCTCGCGCCGAGGATACAGCGTAGTCCTTACCGCGGCAGCGTGCTAAAAGCACAAGTGAGCTCCTCGCCAAGGCTTGGTGCGACTGGTCAAAAGACTTAGCTCGTGGCTGCCTCCGCATCGGCGCGTAGTAGAAGAATTCCGATGCCAACTCGGCAATGACCTTATGTGGAAGCGAGCGACACAGACAGAACAGATCAACACCAACCGAACACTCGCGGCCTCGTCCAATCTCACACCCACTTTGTAGAATTCCGATTCCAACCTAGGACTCAATGGTCTGTTCCCGGCGTAGCTTCGGCTAAGGAATGCGTCCGCCATGCAAGATTCTTAGCTTCCTGCAGGCGCGGACGGTCTCGCTCCAAGTGACTTATCTGCCTCAGACCACGCGGACCCACTATGAGTCATAATATTCCCGAAGCCTTCACGAGTCGCCAATCGTTTGTCCTGTTCGAAATTCATCATCGTTGCGGTCACCTGCGTGTATAGTCTCGCCGGAGCTGGTCAGCAGCGCAGAAATTATCAAGGTGTCAGTGTAACACTGGTCGCAGTTTTCGTTGCAGCTGTCGCAGTAAGAGCAATAGCCAGGCCTAGCAGAAGCAGTGGTAGTGGTAAGTCGTAAGTAGTACGTGCTCGGCTAAGCGGTAAGCGGAAGTGGTAAGTGGTAAGCAGGAGGCGGTAGCGGTAGTGGTGGTAGTATGTAGTGGCAGTGGTAGTGATAGCAGTAGTGGTAGCGGCGCTGGCCAGTGAGAAAGCAGCAACACTAGAAGGAGTACCGACAAAAGTCGTCGTCCGCTTCAGCTGCCCTTCGGATGCTCTTAGCGAGCTCTCTCAATACTACCGGACTGCTGGATTAGGCCAGGAACCGTCTCTGGTGTCGACAGGTGCGACAGCCTCATGTGTGGGAGATCCCTGAATACTACCGGATTGCTTTGTGGGTGGAGTGCCCAGTGCCCGTCTATCAGAGCCCTGCGCCGGCAAATCCATTGCTCTTACGATTTGCAGCACCACTCACTTGGAATTCGCACACAATGCTTCTACCGGAAACGGACGCATCGCTTCACGGAATTAACAAGAGCACGAGCTCTTACATACATGAGTATGAGTGGTCCCTGAGAGGAAGATCATTACAGCGGCTGAGAGCACGGCGGGAGGTAAGAATGCAAAGCGATGAGGTAGGGGCAGTCGTCCAGCTCCACCTGAGGAAGAGATGCCTTCACTGTGGCCCGACTCGGAGATGAACAGACACCCCGCCTGTTTCAGGTAAACCAGACCTGACGTGACAAAGGGTACATGCGGTTGTTCCTTGACAGCCTCTCCAAAACTCGGGAAAAAAGCGTCACGTCTGAGCACCACACAGTCAATGACATTGCCAAACCTGCGATAGCCATGGATCACCTCTAGCCATCAACCTCGCCCCCTCTCAAGCGCCTGCCATGGAAGGGCTTCACAAATGCCAACTCACCCGAAGGAAGCCTCGAGAAAGAGAGAGCGCATGCAGATTCGCGAATGCTGTGCGCCATGGCGCCGCTTCTGCAAAAACAACATTAGCAGCACCACTTCTGCAGCAAGTGGCGCAAAGTCGCTCAGTCCCTCCAGGATCGCAATTCCGCCTCCTACCAGCGGAAAGATGCGAACTCCAGGAACTGATGTAAAAGCCATCGCAGTGGCATGCTGAGAGCCTGTTGTCGGGTGTGCGTAGAAGTGCCCCGCCATAACCTCGCAACTTCCACCGAATGTCTGAAGCGTGTTAGGCATGAGAGAACCCGTGAATCAGTGAAGACAAGCACCAAGATTTCAAGGCCACTAGCGGCCGCTAAGGCCGGCGCAGCTTCGCAATATTCCGCCCAGACCGACTGCGCTCGTTCGTCGGAAGGCTGCAGCCTGCTCGAGAGCTCGTGCGACTAGTCGCGAACCGAACCGAACTATCCGTGCACCAGAAAGTTCCACCAAACTTGGCTGGCGTAAGACCCCGACGAATGTTCTGCACGGCTGCCGACCTTGATTTGAAGCGATGGCCTCAGCACAGCACACTTGGAATTGCCTTTCAGGACATGGACGCCTGGGAGCATCGAATCCTGTTCACATCTGTTCACGGGAGCGAACCATTCGAGCCCCCCGTTTGTGCACGGAAACCAACCGCTCTTCATGCGTGAATTCGGTGACGAGCAAAATACAGAAGGCTTCTGCCCCAGCCCCTCTTTGTGGCATGTTCGTTGGCCTTCTTCTCTCATCTTCTCTCACGGCATCGCAAGTTTTGACTGCAAACTCCCAGTCTGCAAAGCGAGCGGCATCGAACGGCAAAACTTGGGGGCTTATCTGTGGCACGAAAACGGATGACCTAATCAGAGACTGACCCTGGCCAAAATAACACTGAGACTCACAGGACTCACAGGATACTGGAAAGCTCATCACGGGCTTCGGAGGCGACCTGAGCTCCGGACCCTGCCAGATCCTCGAAGCCTCGACAGAGTGACAGAACGTATGAGGGCTCGGGAGCATCGGAGCTTTCGGGGCATTTCTGGCACCATGTCGTCATGACAGGAAGTTGCAGCATTCCTGCCTCGGCTACGAAGGACGACAGGGAAGCCCGACACGGTCGGCGCAGCAAGAACCTCGGCTTTCAACTGGCAACTAGACATATGACATAAGCCCCCTGCCAGAGCGATGACGAACAGGGAAACCGTGACCGGGCCCCGGCCATGGGGATGTCTAAGTTGCGCAGAACCGATCGGCCCACGTGCCTTGCTGGATCCTGTTTTGCAGCAGGGCGCAGGGCAGCTGCCAGGATCTCTCCTCTTTTAATTTGTCACTTCTGAGAACAGGGGGCCAGTCCTGCACCTCATCGCAGATCAAGGAAGCGTCACTCGTCGGGGAGTTGTCTTCCGTCGATGAAGTGCCGCACTCTGCCTGGGAACATCTTCTCGACGGCAGCTGTTCAACATCGCGAGCAATGTGCAACACCCCGCCTCTTCCTGGTCGGATTCGCCAGACACGGACTTGAAGTCCTTGACAAGGAAGAGAAAGCGCAACTACGACCACCCCTCTACCCCTTCCGTGCTTGCTCGCTTCCCCAGTGTAGCCCCCTGAGATCAGCGAAACCTACCTCCTTCATCCTTGTTAGTCTTCAAGGCTGAAGAGTCCCCTCTACCGGGACTCTACCGCTCTCAGTCCCTTTTGCTTAGCTCCTCGGACTGCCAGCTTTTCAGTGACTCGGGCTTCCCCGCGTCGCCTCATGCGGGGCCAGGCAAAATTTCTGCAGCGGTAGCGGTGCCCCTTCTGTCAAGTTGCGCTGTCGGAGGCTCTCGACGGAAAGCGGAAGTGGCTGCATCGGAGCCTGAGCAGGAGCAGTCTAAGCTCAGCCCCAAAGATTCTGCCGTTCTCCGGGCTCCCTGACCGGCTTGGCAACCTCCTCATCGTCGGAGAGCTCTCCTGTCAGAGCTTGAAACCCATGAGACTCGCCTTTCGCTTTCCTTGCTCGCCGGTCAACTGGGGGCCGCGCCCTCAAGGAGATCCAGGAAACGACCGCTTTCCTCCGAATTCTCGTGCTCCGGCTGTTCGGGCTTCTCCTCTGCGCTGCAGTCAGGGATGACCTCAACTGAGCGATGAGCGCACGCAGAGGGCCAATTCGGAACAACAGCTGAGGCCCAAGACATGTCCGAACAGAGCACCCAGGTGGTGGATCTTCTTCTCCGACTCACCCTGTGACAGCTCGGCCCGGTGCCACCACTTCTCTCTCTCCGCTTACCGCATTCTCTCGGCCTTCGTCTCGGATTTCGAGCTTCGACTGGAGCGGTGGCTATGCATAGTGGAAGCTGTGCTTCGACTCCACCTCACCGGAAGGCAACTTCGCCACTTCTTCAGTCAATTCGGTCACTTTGCCTCGAAAGCAAAGCAAAACAAGCTCCATTTCCGAGGCTCCAGACACAGATCTCATGTCTGTGTCGGGGGCCGCCGTCTTGCTGCCGTCCTGGATGCGCTGGGTCCGCGCTAGGTTTGCAGACCGAGGTCCTCCCCGACTCTCCGGAGAAGCCCCGGCCTTCTTTTGGAAAACCTTTGCGAGCTCGTCTTTCCACCTGAGCTCTGCTGGCTGTGCACCGGCGCGTTCAGCGCACATACATGCGCGAATTCTTTCTTGAGCTACAGGCATCTGCTCCGCAACGGAATGGAGATCATGACGAGAAGCACCTCGAGAAGGGCTGACTCGGGCTGCGACTGATCGAAAGCCCGATACACTTGCCCAGAAGTGCCCATCTGCGGCGCCGGCCGAGCTTCTCTGCGAGAGTCTCTCCCAGCTTTGGCACCGTGGCAGTCCTTACAAGAAAGGTTGCAGAATTCAGCCAGGCACAAGTCTCTTGTGCGGTCCTCCACTCTTGGCAGATCTGGTCATAAGAAACGCCCTCCGAAGCCGCCTTGCTGCTTGAGAAGGCGATACCCACGACGCGATGTCGGGCCGCTACGGCAGCAAATCCTGCCTGCAGGAGCCTCTCCACGGAGATTCGATCGGAGACGTCCTAAGTTTCAGGTGATCCACTCTTTTACAACTTGTGGGCACGGGCAAACCCCCGAATCACATCTGCGCAGACTTGCAAAGCCCCCCACCCGCTGGATGCCAGCATGGTAGTGCCTTACCGCCATTGCCGGTGCCGCAACTGCCCACATGCTCACACGCCAGTTCTGCAGTTCAGAAGTCGAAGGTGATCGGTGCGGCGCTTCTCCGGACTTACGCAGGTGTCCGTGCGCTCGCAATGCGGGGCCGACGTACAGCTGCGGGAGCGGTGTCGATGTCCGGAGTCGACGGACCCTCTTTGAGAGTCGTGGCATGTCCGCGTCTAGGCTCGTGGCTTCCAAGCAGAGAGGAAGAGAGTGAGCGAACGAGCGAGCGAGGACAGAGACAAGCAGACGGACGGATGCAGTTAGACATAGGCTGAGCTATTGTTTCGCAAGCGTGCGAAGCGCAGATAGACATGATGGAGGCACGGATCGCCAGGGCACGGGCCAACCCATGGTCGGGTGCTGATTCTTGCAAAGGGACATCTCGCAAACGAACAACCTTTGCAGCGTTGGGGGGCTTCGATCAGCACCTGAATGAAACCACACAATGCGCCGATGATTCGCCAAGCGGCTCCCCATTTTTCCTGGCGACGAAACCAGTCGCACGCCGCTCACTGGAGAAGGCAGGGCGGCCTCGTGTTGATAAGCAGCACAGACGGCGAGGATCCCCCCTGGTTGACCTCGGAAGTCTTCCCCAGCACGACATGTTTGGAAGCCCCCTGAAAACAGAGTCTGAGGAGGAAGCGGTCTGAACTGCCTGCAGGTTGTGCTATCTTTTCGTCATAGCTTCACAGCTTCAGGGGGGATGGGGGGTCCAAAGCCTCTTCAGCCGCTTGCGTCATTCGCTTGATGCCCGCGTTTGCCTTTCACGCAGCGGTACGGCTGACCGATGTCCTCCTGCAAAACCCTGAAATGGCCTGCTCTTCAGAAAGCCCCAAGTCAGATGCGACCTGTAGTTCGACATTAATGGACTTCGATCTTGCTGCTGTTGAATTAGCGGAGAGCCTTGTTGAGCATGGCCATGCCAGGCTTGTGATTCAACAAGCCCGCACCTGAACAGAGTCTCAGCTCTCAGAAACAGAATCGCAATGAATTGCAATGAATTGCAAATACCATGGCCAAGCACCGCCAATCATCTCGCCGCAGCGCATGCCGACCTCTCAACAGCCAACCCAGTCACAACTCCAGGCGCTGCGCAAGAACTTCACAAGAGCACTGCTAGGAGTGCCACGCATTCGGATGCATCATAGCCGAAGAGCTCCTGCTAATGAATGACGTTCTGGCACGTGTCGTTCACAAGCCCTGCTCGAAAAGAGTGGGACAGGGATGGCTTGCTGAGTCTGAGTGTCCTGGAAGCCCTTGCTCACCTAGGCAACATCAGCAACCAGAAACTGAAGCAGGAGACCTATGGAACCTTGAACAGCCCGCAAGGGAAGCGGAATTTTGGACAAGGCTCATGTCGGATTGGGAAGCCTTTGGCTTTGGAGTCGCAAATCACGTAGCTGTCCACGTCCTGCATGGGCTGACTGGCATGCTACGCTGCTCCTCTCTTTCATTCGGAGTTGGACGCTGAGATGCTCCTTCATGCTCCTGTGCGATACCGTTGCTATCGCACACAAAATGCTGTCGTCCAGTGGCCGCCTTCACCTTCGTGCACCAGGATGCACACAGTGGAAGATTGACATACTTCAACCAGCTCGGATTCCTGCAGAAGTCAGCCACCTCACAAGTGGCTACCACCACAGACCGGTATTATTGAGCCAGCCTGGATATAGCTGCGGAGACACCCTACCATACCCACAATCAGAATTGGTCGGCAGCAGCAGCATCATATCACACACTGCCGCTACATGCACATTTCTCTCTAGAACCGCACGTCGTCTGTGCTGCGGCTGACAGATTTAAGGTCGAGCACCTGGTTTCAGGGCCGTGGACTGCAAGCATCCTACTGTGCACGGTGGCCGCGGCACGCTCAGAGACCTTGGCAGCCGCCAGCAAGACAGCAAGACAGGAACACTCCGATGCCTTAATCCACCGTGGACGCCCACCCTTCCCTCCGGAATCAGAGGCCAAGCATGCAGCGTGCCAAAGCTTCGAATCGTATTACACATCGCTTCGTCCAAAGAAGCAGAGAGGCTCAGAAGCCAAAGTGCACGTGACCCGGTAAGCTCACTCTTAGTAGGTACATCTGCTGGTTCTCCAAATCAAATCGGGCTTCGGGATACTGAGCTGAGTCTTGATCTTGCGAGATGCTTGCTTCGAGACTGAAGCCTCACCACAGCTCTCGGCATTGCAAAGTATGTAGAGGAGGCGGCTTGGAATGGGCCGACCCAAGCACATGGGCATACTTCCAGGCACCCGGCCCTGCAGGAGACCAATTGCCTGCAGCGGAGTGCCAGCGTTTCACTTTTCCGACTCTCCTCGATTTTGGCATGTCTGCTCTTTTCAGGCCTCCCGGATGAGGGCTCGAGCGCTGTCGTCGCTTCCCGCGGCCACGGCCGCGATGGCCTGGTCGGCCTCCGGAGCGCTTGAGAGTCGGAGGCGTGGCGGGCGTGGCGAGCGTGGCGGTGCTTTCCGCCGCTTCGGGCCTTCTTGCGGGCCTCCGCCTGGCGCTTGGACCTCGGCTTCCGAGCCGAGCGTCGGAGTTTTTTGGCGACCGACCAGTAGGCTCCCGGCGCCGAAAGCGTGGTGCCTGCAGCGGGGGCGGGCGCTGGCCTGGGCAGTGTCACGAGGACACCGAGACCAACATGTGCCTACAAAGCGCCTCTACAAGACACCTTTGGTGGCTCGGAGACTGGGCCAGGGCTCGGCCAATATCAAGGCTCCAGCTGGGCTTGTGGGACGACGGCCTCGTTGCGGCAGAGTCTCGAAAGAGCTTCAGCAAAGACTTGCAAGCAAGGTGCGCGCAGCCTCCTTATTTCTGTGACTCAGGAACTCTTTTCAACGTCGACCGTGCGATTTCACAAGTCTCTTTGGAGGGCCGCTCATGAGCTAATCGATGTGCAGCCTGCCAGGCACTCAAAATCACTCTCAAGGCAAACGCGCTGTCACATTTTCTGACCCATGACAACCAAATCCGTGCTGCCTGGGGCCGCAGATGTTCACAGCTGTTCCTGGGAAGGGGATCTCATGCCAAGGTTGCGAAGTCTTTTCTCGGCTGCTGTGCAGCTAAGGCACGCCATCCTTCCGCATCAGGTTTTTCTGGCGGAGACAAAGAGGCAAGAATGCAGGGCGTGGGGCTTGACAGCTACCTTGGCACAGATTGCCGTGCTACCCCGGCGCCTGCTTGCCTTCCGCCATCCTCTTCCGATAGGCCTGTTCCCGGCTATCGTAGTTGGAGTCCGTTGGCAGCATGAAAACCGGCTTCTCCGCCTCACGAAGCAAGTCTTTCACCCCCTGCCCAACATCGCATCCCGTTTCTGCGAGCCCTTGCGTCGCCTCCTTGTTGATCGTCATAAACCTGCACAGGCTTTAGGCTGTTCAGCCTACGACAAGCCAAAATAATTCCGGCACGGCCAGCTAGCTTCGTCAAACCAATCGGACACATCGAAAGTCGTACTTTGCATCTTGCTTGGTGCATGCAAGTGGCAGCTTGCCAAGCTCTGCGATCAACGAGTCGCCTGGTTGCTCTGCGAAGGCTGAGGCGGTGTGAACAGTGGGCGTTTTTACGGCCTAAGGCCTAAGGACCACATTGTGCAATGGCCTGTCTTGCACCTATGAGTATGAGCGGGGCAGCTTTGCAGCGACACCCTCGAAAGTGCCCCGAATTAGAACAATGTGTAAGAAGGCAACCCTTTTTGTCTCCGGGCCGCTTAAAGTGATGGCGTCCTCGATCTGCTGGTCGCGTGCGGATATCTGCAGTTTCCGGGCTGCCGCCTCGATGCCTCAAGCCACAGCAGAGGCAGAGACTTGCATGAACTTTGGGGCTTAAGCCTTTACGGTTGCAAAGAGGCCTTGGGGCTCTGGTCGGCTGCAGGAAACTTAGCCGTCTTGGTCTTCGAGTCTTCCAAGGCACGCTCGAAGCTCGGCTGGAAGTCGATCTCGCCATCCTCCTCCTTGAGAAGCCGACCGGAGCTGAAGCTCAGAAAGCTTGCAAATAAGGCCATCAAGAGCCCTTTAGTCTTGGATCGGAAAGGGCATGTGACGGCCGAAGTAGGCACCAGCAGAAGTTGCAAAGACGAGACTTCCTGCTTCGCTATGCCCCCTGTACGCTAAGCTGGGGCCAAGCGACTCCAGCCAAGACGAGCTGGCGAAGCGGCACGAGCAAGTCTCCTGATTTTCGTGTCCCTGCAACTGCTTCAGATCTTGCTGTGGATGCGCAGAAACTCCGTGCTTCTTCTTGTCTCCACAATGCCATGGCCAAGGTGCGTGCTGAAAGTCCACCAGATTTGGTTTGATTCATCTTACATGAATTTCTGCAAAGCCACGGTCGATTGCCGTGTTGCTGCCTGCGGAGTTGTCCACCAAGTTCACTGCTTGCTGGAACAGGCGCGTGCCTGACAGCTCACAGACTCGAGGAAAACCCTTTGGAAAACGGGCTTCGTTCTACGCCTCCCCTCACATAGTTCTGAACGTCGAAGTAGAGGACGTCCATGCCACCCTGATAAGGCGTAGTTGCAACCCCCAAGGTCGAATGCACTCACGAATTCTCATGCCTGGAGCTGCTCCGCATACCTACGAGGCTGGGTGGACAAGTCCCTGCGATGCAAGATGAGTCACTCGGCCTGCCCACTGCTCGTGCCAGAGGCGGAGAAAGCTCCGCCCGCGCCAATGGAGCCCACCCTTGCAGGTGTCTGGTGACACTCTGACTCTCCGTGTCTGGTATCGCACGAGTTTAGAGGCGCAGAGCAGAGAGGCTCGGAGAGAGAGAGAGACGGAGAGTAACAGAGAGGCACCTACAAGTATTGCCATGTGCGCGCATGCACTCCGCGCAAGTTTACATGCATACATACATGCCTGCACGCATGAACAGCATAAATGAAGGCGTGCATGCGTGCCACCTGACCTGCGATCGTTGTTGCCGCCTATTTCGGTCTGCTTTCCAAGTAAGCACTGCTTCACACCTGTCGCAACATATCCCCTAAGGGTCCCGAAGCACATTGATGCTCTTCAGCCCATCGGCCACTCCGAGGACTCTCACAGAGTTTTGGCCCTGGTCCTGAAGGTGCCTAGTCCAGCAGCGGCAGCTGGAATGGCGCTAACAAGCCACGTGCGCCTGCCGAGCAGAGGATGAAGAAGCTGGCCGTAATTCGGTCGCCGACCCTGGCAGCACCTCGCACCACAAGGGCCCGCATCGCTGAAGTCCAAGGCCCCCGCGTGTCCTGATGACAGCATCAGGGCACTCGCATGCGAAGGCACTTGGACTCGGCCTGCTGTGTGCAGGGCCACCAGGCCCAGGAGCACAGCGCACGGCAGGCTCAGACGTGAACGCTGGCGAGTCATTGTCGGAGTGCCGAATGCTCGAGACATGCAAGCACAAGCTGTGAGCTCATGTTTTAGATGGTGTGACTTGATGTAGGCTGAAAAGCTTTAGGATGCCATGTTGGCTTCATCTGAAAGTGTTTGCCGTGCTCTTCACGGCAGTTGAAGTTGGCTTCACCACTCCGCTGAGAACCAGTTAAGTCAGCACACAAGGGTCGTCTTGATGCCTCCGATTTCGATTTGCAAGAGGTTTCACAATCCCCAAGTTCGCCATGTCCACTTTTGAGTTGCCGACGGTTGGCCGGCTGGGCGGCGGCGCCGAAGGCTTCGGCTGTGCCTCCACAGGACTTGTTCCAAAGGAAGCTGCTGAAACTGGGCTTGCGAGGTGAGAAGGAGCCCTCGCTTCTTCGTAACAGCCCGGTTATCTGCTTTCTTCCCTGATGGTCTGCATGACTATATGGCAAAGTCTATGGGCTCGTCTCCGCGGCGTCACGATCTGCGTCCCTCGACGAAGACCGTGCTCTCACATCAATGATAGTTTCTGGGGACTTGCTGTCCCCATTTGAGTGCCTCCCACAGAAGCCCCAAACTTCCCAGATCCGCAGCCTTCGGTGCCGCTGAGGGAGCTGTGGGGGCTGTGGGTGGGTCCGGCGCAGCCGGCGCGGCAGGAGCCCTGCAGGCAGAGCAGATGTGCCGTGCTGAGCAACGTGAGAACGGCACGGCCTTGGAGGCGGCGGTGGAACCACGGGCGGCACCGCTGGAGCCGCCGGGGCCGCGGGCTGCTGTGGTGGTTGCGGGGCCTCCGGCCTTGAGGCTGAAAGGCGCAAGCGGCTCAAGATGCGAGAAGAGGCCAAACGGCCCAAACCAACATCTTGGGGCAGCGGCGCTCGTTGCAGGAGCAAGCCTCAAGGAGACATTCAGAGACTGGGAGAGGAGACGGGCAAAATCCGGGAACTTCGGCTCCCGGCAGCTTCGGAGGTGTCCCGCGCGGCTCTTGGCGTACTGCGCCCTCACTACGGCGCACGCAACTCACAGCAGGAGGCCGAGCCGGCGGCACTGGGCCCGGGGCCTCTCCTTGAGAGCAGGCCTCACAGCGAAAACCGCAAGGCCAACAAGGCCAAGAAGGCCAAGGCCAAGGACGGTAAGAGACAAAACTCATAAGATGCGCTTACAAAGTTATAAGACTTGATCAGATGCCTTTCCACTCCTCAGCCTTCGCCTTAGCAGCCTTAGCATTCGCCAAGCAGCTCGACGGCACCGAACTGAGCCAAGGCGTCCAGGCAAAGGCCAGCGGTCTGCGAAAGGGGCATGCGCTGTCGCTTCACGCTTCGAGCTCCTCGACTCTCATCAATATGAGCAAAATAACAAAAACCTGGGGCAGGGGCCAGCAGATCCCGCGCGTGCTTCGCATCAGCAGGCCCGCCATCGGCCTGCAGATGCGTTGCACAACGGCCCCTCAGGCCAGCAGGCGAGACGGCACCCGACTTGTCTTGAAAAAAGGATCGGAGCAGCGGCCCTCAACCACGCAAACCCAGAGCGGCAGAAACAGCTTGCTCGTAGTTCTGCACCGCAAAATGCCGTAGCTGCTCCTCGGCCGAAGGAGAGGCGCAAGAGAGGGAGAGAGGAACAAGAGAGTCCGTGTCATGGTCGTGGCAAATCCCTGAAATACGCCAAGGAGTCGAGAGGTGCAATCACGTCAGCGAAAGCGGAGAGGGCGAAGACTGGTGCGACGACCCCCAAAATACCAGGGAAAACCTAGGGAGCCCGGAAGCCAAGGGAAGCCAGAGGAAAAGATCTGTGAAGCTCGTCTTAGCGAGCATACCTCTGAAATCCCTGAAAAACTGCCTCTGGAGTGTAAATCTCTGTCCCAGAGCAGACGTGCGGGAGCTCAGGATCCCATCGATCACGCAAAAGGGACAAGCAGAGGGGCGCAGGAAGCTCGCCTCGAGGGTTTCACCTTCACACCTCCGGGGCCGCCGCTGCACCCGTCGAAAGGTCCAGCTTCGCTTTGGCTTCCTCTGCCTACGGCATCCAAAATCTCCACGGAGTTTGGGGGCGTAAGCGGAGATCCGTATACGGTGTATACGGCCTTCTCGAAGGTAGCGAAGAGCAGTTTGTCGGACTCGGCCTGCGCTGCCAGCAGCCCCGGAGCCCACGGAGTGAAAGGACTCCGAGCCCGGGGCATTTGTCGGGCCCCGCTGCTTCGCCGTGAGCAGCATCTCCAGCGCGTGTATCCGAACTCAGAATCAAACAAAAGCCGCAGCCGCAGACAGGCCCTGCGCGCTCTCCGCTCCCCGCTCCGCGAAGTGCTTGGGCCGACGCGATAGTGTGCTGCCACGGGCTGGGACCCGTCGGCCTCCACAAGACGGGAGAGAAAGCGACAGAAACCCAATGCCCAAGGGCGACCACTGCGCGCTGCCTCCAGAGCCGCCGCCCGATCCAGCAGGCACAGAGCCTCGCAGCTCTGGCTCTGCTGTGCACCCCTCACTGTGCTCTGCCTTAAGTGCACCTCGGGTGCCACCTCCGCTTGGGGCTCCTTCTTTGGAGGCTCCTGTGAGCGCATCCGCAGTCACACGTCACATGGAACAAAGAGAATGGAAGAGCACGTGCAGTTGAGGTGTGTTCCTGTTGCGGAAGTTGCGGCGGTTGCGGCGGCCGCGGGTCTGGAGCTTGTGGAGGCCTTGCATCCTTCCGGGAAGCAAGGATAGTTGCAAGTGACCTGACGTCAGCACCTTCTGTGCTACGGAAGAAAACCCCCTGTCCACACTGCCCACAGTCCTCGTAGCCAGAGGCCCTGGCTTCGTCCAAGAGTTGGCTGACCATCTCTTCCCGCAGACCCTCTGAAGGATCGGAATTCAAGCGGAAGAGTCCAGGAAGGCTCTCGCTGTCGAGCTGTCGAGCCTCGGAAGAGCCTGCGGCCGCGGCCGCGGCCGCAGTTTGTGGGTCCTGCCGCTTCTTGAGGGGATTATATGAAGGGCGGACAAGGCAGACCCACTACGACCGTGAGTAGTGAATCAACCCCGTCTGACGACTGAAAGACAAACACTTGTAAGACTTACACGTCATTTGCAGACCCTGCTCAAGAGCCCAAGAGCCCAAGCATCCCAAGCTTCCTTCAACTTCCCACGAAGTCGGTCCTCGCCCTCGTCAACACTCGGAGACTGGTCGGGCGCAAGGTTCGCCACGCAGCTCATCATTGACCGGAGCCTGGCATCTTTGAACTTGAGCACTGGTACACATCATAAAACATGAATATATGTAAAATATGTGTATATATATATATATATATAGATAGAGAGAGAGATATGTATATGTAAATATAGACTATATGCATGTATCTGCATATATTCAGGCACTCTCAGTCTCTTGCCGGTCGACTGATCAAGTCTTCTTTTTCCCGGAGCACGCACAGGGGAGTCTGAAGACCGGCAACACGCCGGCATATGTAGAGTACGAAATTGAAACAGATACGACGGCTCAGGCCGTCAGCTTCAAGCTGTTCACCTGAGTTCCAGAAGAGCGCCACACACACACACACACCTGCCGAGAGTCCCCGTCCTGGCACCTGCCCTCCCGCTTGGCCAGGCGGCGATGTAGTCCAAGTACTGCTTGCCGAGCGGACCCTTGTAGGATGCCTGGATGTGGTCTGCCGGCGACAAGGCCAGCGCGAAGGTGACGACGCCCTTGCGCCTCAGTCAGGCGGTCCATCCCCGCTCGCACTTTTCCTCCGAAGCGTCTTCCCGCCAAGCAGCAGGATAGCTTTGCCAGTGGTGCCTTGAGGAGGCGAGTCCTGACCGTTTGCAGGGCCCGGTGCCTCAGATTCAAATGGAAGGAGCCCTCTGCTCTCTGCTCGGTTTTAGTTGCCTTCAAGAGTCTTGGCGTCCGATGGCTTCTGACAAAGGCACCAGCGATTTGCCTGCCGGCTCCCGTGCCGAATCTTACGAAGCCCTCTAAGGCACCCAAACACCACAACCATCCACAACGACCACGCCTCCTAGGCCTTGCACTTGCCTCGGGAATGCGGCGGTGGACAGGAGAAAGAAAAAGGGAGGCCAGGCAAGGCAAACAGACCCAGAGACGCAGAAATGAAAGAGAAAGAGAGGCGATCTTTGCTCTGCCATGCAGATACCCGCAAAGTAAAACGAATCGCAAGAGGACTCTTCCTGCAGCGGGACTAAAACTCGCTGAGGTCAAGGTGCTCATTGGGGTCTGCCGCCACTCCCGGGCTGGTGAACTGGAGCTCGCTCACAGCATGCCAGGAAAGAACCTGCTTGGGGCTGTCTTCCCTACCCCGTGCATACCGTATACAGCTTCCGAAGCATCGCTTTTTTCACAGCAAAGTGCTGTCGGAAGGCCGAGCTCCCACCGGGTCCATCGCTGATTGCGTAATCGACCACGCTGATGTTGATCTGCACATCACATCGAGGCCCCTAAAGCTTATCCACAAGTTTCCTAACCTGCGCGCCTCTGGCATCTGCAAGCCCGCCTGCGCCATCTGCGCCTCCAGCAGAGTTTCAGAGCGGGTCAGCGGGTCTCAAGGGAAAGGATAAGGCAAGATTCAAGCACCTGAGTCAAAACCACGGCTGTGGCACCTCTTGGCCGGCTCGCATCATCCACTCAGCAATGTTTGCGCCGGTCACGCCACCCAGGGCCACTTCCTTCACATCAACATGCGTCCAAGCACGGGCACAGTCGCTAGCCGAGGGGAAGCCTTCCAGTCACTGCGCTGGTCGTCCCCTTCACGTGGCATGAACTTGGCGCTGCGCAGCCTGGCAGGCGGGCTCTCGAGGGCTCTCGACTCGAAGATGCTTGACGATGCGGCTCGCTGCTGGAAAAATGCGTTGCAGAGCGACAAGGCCGGCAGCGGCAGCCGGGCACAGCGCACAGCCGTCAGGTCGGGATCCTGACCGGCACGAAGCGCCTCCATGTCCACGGGCGTCATGCCTTATAAAATGCGCATTCCCAGCTCCGGGTTCCGTCGCAAGTCACGCACACACACACACACACACGCAGAGTGCTTCCGGGGACGACACTGACTATCAGCCGCCCGGCATAGTCGTTGAACCTACACCAGCATGCGGAATATTCCTCTGAATGACACGCACAGAGCTGCGCAGATGGCGACACTGTCATGTTGAGAATCAGCTCTTCGCTGCCGTCACAGCACACGCTGCCAGACAGTCAAGTCGCTCAGTCTGCCAATTAACCGGCAGCTGGATGCCTCAGGAATTGCGGGTCCCGCGGCAAAGACTCACAGCAAAGCGAAGTTTCTGCCGTCCCAGATTCTGAAATCTCCCTGCCGACTTTGGACTGCGCTGAGGTATGGGTCGCCAGTTGGCGTGTCCGTGGTCCGAAGGTTGAAGGTGTTTGCAGCTTCCTGCACGCTACGCGACACGAACGGGACTCGGACCCAAAGAGAGCGAGTCGCACAACCAAAAGCGGACATCTCCGCCTCCGCCATCGCAGGCTGGGCCGCACCCAACGAAAGCAGCAACGCCCGCCGACCCGGACCCGAGCCTCGATACAAAGCTCAAAGACCAATCCGCCTCTGCTCAAAAACAAGGAACTTTGGGCCGCGAGCTCTGTAGGCCATGGCCATCTCGTCCCGAAGGCGCCCAGCACCTCCAGGGACTCCAGGGCCACGGCAGCTTGCTACTGCACCTGCAGTGTTCTCTCGCACCTCGGTGCAAGCCATACCGCAATGGCCAGCAGAACCGCAGCGGCAGGCCGGCGCGCCATGGCAGGCGATCACGGCCCAAGCAAGTCAGCAAGCCTGCAAAAATCTACAAAATCTAGAATGCAGTGCCTACTTCCTCTGCTACAGAGGGAGTGGCGCATGCGGTCCATGAAGTGAGCTCGAGCCTGCTACAAAATTGTTGAAACGCTGCAGAGGCAAAGGTCAACATTGGGGGCTCTCCTAAATCATCCATAGGTCCCCGCAGGTGAGGCCACGGTATGCCGCCGTGGCTATCTCAACTTTCTCTGCGGCATTTACACGAGCATCGAGTTTGCGCCGCAATCGCCGTCACAGTCTCCGCAATGGAGTCCGGTGGGATCAAAGAGCGACTCTGGCATTGGCTGCAGATTCAAATCGAAGAATCGCAGGTCGATGGCGCCGTCCTCGCTGATGGAGGCCACGGGCAGATTCGTGTAGAAGTCTGAGTAGAAGTCCGAGATGCGCTGGACACGCTGCACCGCCCAAGGGACCTCAAGAGATCGAAGGCGAAAATGGTCTCTTCAGTTTCACGCAAGCGGGAATCTGAAAGACAAGCTGAGGGACTGTATTGGACCACCGATGGCAAAGCTGGCCATCTAGGTAGTGGACACCCCGGTAGAGGGCCCCATCGGCCCAGCTTTCATTGAAAACCGGTTGGTGCATTGGCAGCTTGCGGCACTGCACGGCTTGTGCTTTGCCAGGTCCTGGTGGCAACCGCTCGTTGACCGTGGTTTGGTACATGGCCTCCAGGGAAGCTCTGAAAATCTCTGCGTCCTGCTGCGATCTTGCATGGTCTAACTGGCATTTTACACTCACAAACTCTTACCCCTACGACCTGCTCCCGGCCGTGAGCGTTGATGCCCACGGAGGTCGGGTTGGGCCCAAAGCGACCGCAGGTGCTACCGGGGCAGGTCATGAGCCACTCGGTCCTCATCACCTGTGGTCATGGCTTGGAGCGTGGGTTTAGGACTGTCTTTGACGTTTTGAGGCCTGAAGGTCGGCATTGAGGTAGTGCGTCCCGCTGAAGTTGTTGCCTCCAGCGGGGTCAGACGCGCATGAGATGTGCAGAGACCGCTGTTGAGGCCTGCGAAGAGGTCGTGGGAGTCCAGGCTAACGCGCATGGTGCACTTGTAACTCATCTGCCGTGGGAACGCAGGTTTCGGCTCGGCCGCGGCGGCAGCGCAAGGAGCCCAGCAGGCCACGCTGGCCACGCTGGCCACAGCCAGAAGGACAAACGGCCGCTCCATTTTGGGGCCCGGGCACCCTGTACCTACACTGACCTGGCCCGCGCCCTGTTTGAGCAGCTTTCCCACACAGAATCTCTGTTGGCGCTAACCAGCGACCATCACTTACAGGCGAGGCAGTCAGAGTTCCTTTATTTCGAGGCACACAGGTCATGGGCGTAAAGCGAAGAAGGAACAGTGTTTGTCTCTTCTGCCTTCTGTGCAGTGCTTTCGAGACACCTGTGTCGCTAACGACCATTCTTGCACCGCGCACTGTCCCAGCGACAGGGCGGGTGAATTTCGACACTCATGAGTCATGGACTGGGACTACGGCGATTGCTAAGAAGTAGAACTGATTAGCCATAAGGGCTCTGATTGGGTGGAGTCTTTGGCGCTAGCCTTACCGAGACTTCTCACGTCTGCGCCTGCGCCTTGGTCCGATGGCCGCTGGTGTGGCAGAGACAGCACGATGAGCCAGCCGAGCCTCTTCATTGCGCAGGCTCCGCAGGCTCCTGCTCTGCAGCCTGTGACCACTGAACAGCGGAAGCGGATGTCAGTGATGTCACTGACAGCGTCAGACGCTCATGCGCCTGTGTGCTCTCGTTGCTGCGCTTTCTGCGGACGACCTGCAGCATGACGCCGGCAAGCTTTGGTTTGTTGGGGTCCGGCCGTCAAGCTCAACGCCACTGCGAGTGCGAATATGAACGTCCCGAAATCCAAACGAAGCCACCGCGGCAAAGGCCTGTGCGCCCTCCGGGCTAGCTGCACGGTGGTTGCCAAGCCTTGTTCAAACTTCCAGATTCAACAATGCGAACAGAATAGGAGGACTACTGATATTACTGGAACTTCGAAGACCTCGAAAGCCCAACTTGACGGGCCGGGGCCAAGGCCTGTCGGAAGACCCTCGTCGCACTTTTTCTCGAGACGATTGCCGGTCGTCCTGGAGGCGAGAGCCCCAGTGCAGCCACACAAACTCGAACAGCATCCGGACTGCGCCAGGAGATATGCAAGACTGGCAGCACAGTCAAACACTCCTGCTCTCTCTGAACGATTGCAGGTTCGGCTAAGAAGTACCAAGCCTATCAATCCCTTCCCGACGAAAGCCAGCGTGCTCCTCCTCTTCCGTCCATCTCCTGGACTCCTGCAGAGACTCAAGCACAAGGTCCGATAAGGCGTGGGAAAGCGGGGAGGCCTAGGGCCTAGGCTCAGGGCTTTGCAGATGCACGGGGTCTCCTTTCTCGTCAGAATGGATATTAACCGGCAGATGTTGGCCGCTGCACGGAAGATGAAGCCGGGCAGGCTGATGAGAACCACCTCATAGAACGCGCGACTCCTCTAACACAAGCCGCTGATGCAATGCAACTAGATCGTACGCAGCAGCGGCATCCCAAACCTGATTAATGCCCCCGTCACCACCAGTCTCATCAGTGTTTTTTGTTGTGTACTATGTGCTGGCGATACTGTGCACTTCGCCGCGGCACCGGGGTCGCGTTGACGATCAGGCTGAGCCCAAACAGCTCGAAGCCTTCGAAGTCCCAACAGAGGTCCGACGAAACCAAGAAACGGCACTGGATTGTTCACCGAGCGGCTGAGGCAGGACCAGAACAAGTACCTCTTGTCCTCGGCTTGATCTGCGCTCTTGGAACCACGACAGTCACAGGAGACTGCTTCAATTCATGGTGCAAGCCGGTGCTGGGAGAGGCACGCTCAAGTATTTCCTGAGGCTCCAAAAACTGGCACTACTCCAAACCGCCAGCGCACTCTTCGGATGCTTCCCAAGCCGAGATGCCGCACGATGGTGTAATCATACCCTTGGCTAGAATGAAGTGGAAACACTAGACTAGACTCGCTAGTAGGCTTACAAAACGGTTGGCGCCGCTATTCATCTACTCGGCTGAGCATCCCATCTGCTTTTGGTGAACGCCAAGAACTTCTGAGAGGAACATGACAGATACGTGAGCCACAATTTCCACCAACACCTCGGCAGGAGAAAACGATCACATGGACTCATCAATGGCCTCCGACCAGTGGGTGGTCATGCGTCTAACTGCGAAACGGGCACGATGAGGCTTCGAAGAATGGCTGCCTCAGCTTCTTCGTCTCTCCGAATCTTGAGGCCGTGTGTACGACCCACGACTCCCCATCCCCGTGAAATCTGCGCCGAAGCACGACAATGGGGGCCGCGCTGGCTCCAAAGCATGTCCGACCTGTTGCGAAACTGGCACGATCGGGGCCGATGAGTGCAATTGTCGCACGATGTGCAGCGTTCAACGGCCTTCGAGAACGGACTTGGCGGCAAAGTGCAGGCACAAGCCTTGCATGCTCTGGGACTCGATCTTACGCTTGGAGGCTTTGGTCTCATGCCCACGTCAAGCCTCCTCCTTGAATCACGACACATTCCTGCCATCCCTGCAACCCTGATCTTGCCAAGGGACACGAAGAGACACGGTCAATTACCTGAGCCGGTTTGCTGGAACATGGAGCCGTAAACAGGGCTTCGCTCAGGCCAAGCTGCCATGTCTAAGTAGTAGCCTCGGGTAGCTTGCAGGGGACGGCGTGCTTTCTGGAATGTGAGCACTTCAGGGAAGGAGCCTAAGCGAGACTCCTGGTTGAGGGCGCGTGCTGCATAGCCGTCTATACAGTCCAGGAGGTAGCTGACGGAATAGTAAAGCCTCAGACTGGACCACCACCAAACTCTTCGACAAAGACCGTGAAAGAGAAAGAGAGCAAGAGAGGGAGAGAGAGAG